GATCTATGGGTCCTGATTGGGCATAGACAGGAGCTAGGCGAAGCTGCTCACATCAAGAGCACTTCTTGGCAAGTGCAGAAGCAGAACTCCAGGGTTTTACAGACACTTATCAGGCAGCAGCAGAGTGGGATATTTTGGATCACAATTTTGAACATAGCCACCTAAATCCTTTAAAGGATTACCCTGAGTGCTGCTGCAGTTTTTTTACTCTGCAGCAGAACAGACTTGTATTTACAAGTATTATCCTGCTGCAGACTAAGTTAGTTTACTCCATCCTAATAGGGATGCAAGCGTAGATGCTGAAACGTTTACTGTGCAGTTAAATAGTCACCGGCGCAGTAAACGTCTCATGTAGCCGTGCCCAGTGTCTTTTCTTCAAAGAACACAATCCCTAAATTAGTCCACAGTCTTGACCTTTCTTCTTCTGACTCACTTAGCAGGAGTTTTATTCTTTGGGGAGAGGACGGGCACTTAATGCCTATTTTTTAAGTTAGCTCCACCTCTTCTCCTCTTGCTTGGCATCTTAGTCTGTAAAATCTTCAGAGCCCGCCCTAAGATTTCCGGGCATTTGCACAATGTTTGGGACTAACAGAATGCAAATTCTTAACAAGAAAGGACAAGCACATCTTATCTGACTAATCGCAAGGAGTCTTGACAGCTTAAATGCTTACTACCCAAGCCCCAGGGTAGGAAATACTACAGTTGGTGTCTGTCTCTGAAGAGTCTCAATGGACTCGGGGGCTTGGAGTAAACTCCGGACCCTTCTTAGAACCAAGTAATCTCAGAAAAGCAAGCAATCAGTTGCTGAGTTACCATGAAAAGGCTAACAGTCACCTATTCAGGATTGAAAGGCTCGAGTCTGGTCACCTTCTGAAGCCCCATGTGTGTCAATCCAGGTACAGGCCAACATAGGGGCTCTTCTGTCCTGCCCACCGTTGCTGGGTGAGGATGTGAGCCTAAACCAGTGCTCTGGATTGTGATGTCATTGAGCACAATCAGTGAGACATCTGAACCAAGGAAAAATCAGAGTCTGGGGGAGCTGAGTAAGGCAACGCTCTGTTCACCTTGTTAAAAATGGCCCCACATGATACATCGGCCCATTCTCTGTATATGGAAGACTGGTCACCAGGTCTCAGGTCTGTTGCCTGGACTAACCTCTCCCAAAGGCCAGAATGACAGCATGCGGCACTACCAGAACCACACGTGGCACTTTAAATCCTTAAAAGACACTGTCCCTAACCCAGTGAATTTACAGTCCAAATTGAACCCACTTGGAGCAAGAGGCAGAGTTAAAGATGGGGAAGAAAATTACAGCAGATAGAATAAGGTGCAGCATGTGAGAAAGGGCATAAGGTGAGACAGGATGGGGGCACAATGAGGCTTTGCAGCGAGACTGTGTACTTCCTGAAAGTGGCAGAACCACCAAAGTGTCCACTGTCTTGGAGTGCCAGGGGACAGCCCTGGTCAAAGTAGTGAGAGAAGGAGGTGGTTGGCAAGGAAAATAGACATGAGGTTGCTGACCCAAGCCACCTCAAGGGTTTTCATTAATGAATTTCACAGGGCACATCTTATGCCCCAGCTCCAGGAATCACTGTGAGAGCTGCTGAAGTAATGGAAGAGCTTCAGGTTCCCTGGTTCTGTTTCTGACTCTGGCTTGATGCGGATTCACTGGCTGACTGTGGGCATGCCCCGTTCCTCTCTCTGTTTGTTTCCGTTCTATCATAGCAAGGATCTGTGGTTCAGTGGTCGAAACTTTGTCTGCCACACAGAAGACCTGGGTTCAATTCCTGGGCACTTATACAAATACAGCCATGGAGGCACCCAACATCCGGACTTTGGATTCTGCCTGTGGCCTAAGGGGGGAATGGAAGGTCTGCGCAGCCTCCACTCTAAAAAAAACAAAACAAACCCTCTTTTGTGACCTGATCATAAAAAGAAACCAGGTTAGTCAGGCAGGACCTGCCCTCAATGAACCCATGTTGGTTGCCCCTGAGCATTACCTCCCATGCTGCGCCCTTGCAGATGTGCTCCTTAATAATTTTCTCGAAGGTCTTCCCAAGGACCAAGGTAAGACTGCATAGGCATGTGCATCTAAGGTGTCAGGCCAGGTACCAGAGCATTGGAAAAGGGCCAATGTGGTCCCCATTTACAAAAAGAGGAGAAAGAAGGACCCTGGCAATTATAGGCCAGTCAGTCTTACCTTGGACATTGGGAAGACCTTTGAGAAAATTATCAAGGAGCACATCTGCAAGGGCCGAGCATGGAAGGTAATGCTCAGGGGCAACCAACGTGGGTTCACTGAGGGCAGGTCCTGCCTGACTAACCTGGTTTCTTTTTATGATCAGGTCACAAAGTCCCTGGAGGAGGTGTCAGGGTGGATGTTGTCTTCCTGGACTTTAAGAAGGCCTTTGACATCGTTTCCCACCACATTCTCTTTAAAAAAAATGGTGACTGCGGCACTGATGGCTACACAGCCAGATGGGTGGCAAACTGGCTAGATGGTCACACCCAGATAGTGGTGGTGGATGGGTCGTTTTTGACCTGGAGGGATGTGGGCAGTGGAGTCCCCCCAGGGCTTGGTCCTGGGGACTGTAGTGTTCAACATCTTTATCAACGATCTGGATGTGGGGGGCGGAAAGCACACTGTCCAAATTTGCTGACAACACCAAGTTGTGGGGTGAGGTGGGCACGCTGGAGGAGAGGGACAGAATCCAGCTAGATCGAGACAGGTTACAGAGGTGGGCAGATGAGAATAGGATGGAATTCAATGCAGACAAGTGCAAGGTGCTGCATCTAGGGAGAAGGAACCAGCAACACACCCATAGGCTGGGGAACACCCTTCTTGTCAATACGGTGGCAGATAGGGATCTTGGAGTCATTGTTGACTCCAGGATGGACATGAGCTGCCAATGTGAGGAAGTGATCAAGGGGCTAACCACACCGTGTCATGCACCTACAGATGCGTCACAAGCAGGGTCAGGGAGGTGATCCTCCCCTCTATGCGACACTGGTCAGGCCACAGTTGGGGTACTGCATCCAGTTCTGGGCGCCGCACTTCAGGAGGGATGTGGCCAGCACTAAGAGGGTGCACCCACATGGTCAAGGGGCAGCGGGGCAGGCCCAATGAAGAGAGGCTAAAGGGCCTGAACCTATTCAGCCTCCACAAGAGAAGGTGAGAGGGGATCTGGTGGCTGTTTACAAACTCACCGGGGGGACCAGCAAGAATTGGGGGAGGCTCTGTTCCCTCAGAAACCACTACGGGTTACTAGTAATAACGGTCACAAATTGCTAGAGAAAAGGTTCAGGCTGGACATCAGGAGACACTACTTCACAGTTAGGGCTGCCAGGCTCTGGAATGGACTGCCAAGGGAGGTGGTGCTCTCTCCTGCCTTGGGGGTCTTCAAGAGGAGGCTGAACAGATATTTAGCCTGGGTGGTATGACTGCGGCACCCGTTCCTGCCTGGGGAAGGGGGTTGGACCTAATGATCTAGGCCCCTTCCGACCCTAAGTACTATGAAACTAAGGTGTGGGTGACTTCTCATGCATTCACCATGATCTGGAAGGATCAATGGTTGCCAAACATAATAATGACCATGATACAGATGCTGATCTCACTACAGAGCACTATTGGGACACGGGGTGACAAGGGCTAAGAAGTGTCACTATTCTCTATGACTCAGTCTCTGTGACTTGTCACAAACCTACCACAGACATGCAGAATGCCACAGACTAAAATACCAAAAAGCCTCCAACTGCCAGCTGTGTGTCAGTGGGAGAAGAGGTGCCTTCCTTAGCAGTAGGGCATGGACATTGTTGCCACTAGACAATGGCCTACAACAGTGGCGTTACTGGTAGATATTTGGAATGAGCTTCCAAGGGAGGTGGTGCTCTCCTCTACCTTGGGAGTCTTTCTAGACAGGCACCTGATTGGGGCTGTCTGATCTCAGCACTTTTTCCTTCCAAGGGCAGGGGGTCATACTCGATGACTTACTAAACTCCCTTCCGACCCAAACATCTATGAATCAACAGTGTCAAAAAGTGGTTTGGGTAGCACTTTAAAAAAAAAAAAAAAAGCATTTTGTTCACCAACCTGAAAATGTCCTGCAGGATGTGTGAAGTAGCAGACTTCTGAATCCAGTACCTGCTTCAGTGGGACACTCCCCAGGATACAAGAGCAACAAGAAGCTGTCTCAAAAGGCCCTGGAGTTTGGGAGGACTGGGCTGCTTTCTGGGGGGAAAGCTGGGAAGTCTGTAAACAGCAGCCACAGCAAGGAGCTCCGGGCAGGGGAAATGCACTGCGTGAAGCATGTGGTGCACTGGGTGCTGGCAGCCTGGGAGTTCTGCAGGAGGGGGTGTAGCCAGAAACCTGTCTGGTATATTTTGTGGATAAATCCCCTAATCATCATGGGGCTGTGGGTGGGGGCTGGTTTTTGCTGTAGTGGGCACATCTACACAGTATTCTAACTGCACAGTAGCCTAATTCTACTGTACATTAGCGTGCAGGGCAAAAACCATGCCAATATGCTAATACTCGGTAGTGTTAAGCTACTGCGCAGTTAGCATCACTAAAAAGCCGTGCATCAGCACTACTGCACGGTAGCACCAGTTACTGCACATTGATTTAGTACTTGGTCATACAAGTACTAAACTTAATGTGCAGTAACTATGGCACATTAATGAATGTGTGGATGTGCCCACTGAAGCCTGCTCTGAGCTTTTGCCACAGTTCCTGTGGCTCAGACACACAAGCAGGCTGTTGTACCCAGTGTCTTAACAGCTGAATGTGGGGCAGGGACATAGAAGGCCAGGAGAAAAAACAATGAGAAGGCATTTACTAGTTGGGATATGATGCACAATTATTGAGAAATGTGTGGGACACACCAGCCCTTTCCATGAACATGACTCTGCAGCCAGTATCTGGCAAGGGCTGCAACTCCTTACCCAAGACCATTGCTTGTCCGCTTGATCAGCAGTAGAGAAAAAGCAGCACCACCCAGCTGTGTCTGTGCGAGGGCCCCAGAAAACCATGGAAGAATTGCATTAAAGGTTGCAAAACTAAACACATCTGAGCCAAACCAAATAGTAAACGCACAAAACCAGCCCGCAAAGAACGTAGTTATTCTTTTATTTATAAACCAATCAACATAAAATAAGTGCAGAGGAAAGCACGGGCTGAACCTGCACTTGGGACCTGCTTACAAGAGAGACCTGTCTGCAATGGGACAGAGAAAAAAAAGGAAATGTAAAAACCAGGGCAGAGCCTTCTGGACCGAGACGGACGCTGGCAGCCACCCTTAGAGGCAGCTGGGACAGCCCCCGCCCATTTCATTGCACTATGCTTGGGAATGGTGCAGCTGGGATGTTGGCAGAGGTCTTGTTTTATCAACAAAAAGTTTTTGTGACTTACAGATTTTTTCAAGTTTCCCTTGGGGGATAAACCTGGGGCATAAGGTCCTCCTTGACACTTTCCCCTTTGGAGCCTTTTGCACAGCTGCTACAGCTGTACAGAGACTCTGGGTTTTGTGGGGTGAGGGAGTGATAATGGGATGCACATGTAAGACTTCCTCTTAAAATGAATGGGAAAAGAAGAGCAAAAGACACGAAAAGAAGGAAGTGCTTGCAAAAGATATTTCCTATGTCCCATCCCTTTTACAGTTTAGGAGACGCACCTGACTTCCCTGATGCTGGGAAAGACTTCCCCTCAGGAAAAGGGGGAGGGAGGGAGAGAGAGAGAGAGAAAGAAAGAAAGAGAAAGAGAGAGTGAGTGCGAGTGTGTCCATCCATCCTCTATACTGTTTCACCTGAACAGCAAGGACAGGCGCAGCTCTTCCTTCTGCTTGTCACAGGCCAGGACATGAGACAGTCCAGGGGATTTTGCAGCCCTGTTTTCCATGGAAGGGATCTAACAGCTGTGACAGGGAGCATGCGCCCACTAACTACAAGGGAAGCAGGTTCCAGGAGCCCACTGATAGGAAGGCCCCAGCAATGGGGGAAGGTTGGTGGATTCTGCTTAAATTCTTCTCCATTTCATTTTGCTAGAGACAGTAAATCAGATGAGGGACAGAGGGTCACTGCTTAAGTGCTACCAAAAATAAATATATTAAACAGTTTAAGAGACACACATGCCTTCCCTGATGCTGGGAAAGACTTCCCCTCAGGAAAAGGGAGCCTGTTTAACAGGCTGCAATCCTATTACCAAAACACTCAATGCTCTGATCTGACGTGCCTCTCAGCAGCACCTGCTCTATGCTGCTGAGCTGCGACAGAATGAAACAGTGAGGTAAGGCCCAGGGCGTTTAACGGTACCACTCAGAGATGGACCTTTACACTTCTGGGGAAAATACTCAAGGATTGCGATTTCAACAAAAAAATTCAAAACATTTCATTATGGTTTTTTTTTTAAAACAGACAACACTTTAAAAAAAGGGAGAGAAAAATCCAACAGAAAGCCCAAAGCCTGTGCCAGGTGGAGCCTCTGCTCAACTGAATGTGAGTTAAGGGGCATCTGTCCAGGGGGCAGGGTGGTGGTGGCACATCTCATAGCTCTTCTCTTACCGCTTACTTTGTGTTGTAAAACATCAGTTGGTTCAGTATACTGACAAAGAGGATCTATCTACCAGCTCTCTCAGCTATGCTTCTGCCTTCATCAAAAATAAATACAAAGGCATTTCTCCACCTCAGTGACACAAGCACTGGAAAGTCCACCAGGTATTCTCCATGGGGAAGTGGGCACAGCCGAGAGAAGAGGTTTTCCTGTCCAGACAGCAGGACTAGCAGACTGTGCACCTACGCCATGTGTTGTGGCCCTACATCCCTTCATGGAAGGCTGAGCAGAGTGTGGACACTTCAAAGCTAGCCATAGTGTTGCTAAGAGTGGATATTGCATCCCAAAAGCCGTCTCTCTCAGAGCCTGGCCTGTCCAGAATGGCACAGTAGAGTGCAGTGTCCAACATGGTAGGTTCTGTTGTGAAACTGTCCATCTGTCACAAGATGAGGCAACAAGGAAACAGAGACGGCCCAAGACAGACAGGCCCAGGGTGCAGGGGGGCACAATAGGGGAGGGAATGTGACAGAAAGCAATATAGTCCTGCAGGGGAGCATTAGGGAAAGGATGCACCATGGAGAAGCTTGGCTGCTGAAGAGCTCTGCCAGAGATCCCGTCCAAACAGAGAGCATCTTCTCAGCCCCAGGCATGTAAAGGAACTGGGGACTCCACAAAGAAGCATCCGCTGAGGAACAAAAAAAGAGCTCTTCTGTTTACTTTGAGACATCCATGAGTCAAATTCTATTTAATCTGCAAGCAGCCAACAGGTTCTGTTTCCCTTCAAATGCCCATTGTGCTCCTGGCTGTGGAAGGAAGGTCAGGTGGGTGGCCAGTTAGATCCCTGCAGTTGTCTGAAGGCTTTTTGAAGAGGCGTTTGCCTGTGACATACACAGGGGGTGTGCATGCGTACCTGTCTGTAGGTGAAAGTATGAATGTGTACGGACAGGAGCACAGTATTCCCAGGACTTGTCCTGCTAAGAGTCCTCTCAGAACTTGCCTTGCTTTAGTTTGTCGATGTGGTAGGTGAGCTTCAGCGCTGGCCCCAGCTTCAGCCCCATGTATTTCATCATCATGTCACTCCGCAACAAGAGCAAAGCTTTCCCGTCGATCTCCTGGAAGCAGGAGAATGTCAGCATTAGAGTGAGGCCAGCTCTGCTCTTCATACCCATGATATTTCTAGTAGGGAAACTCCTCCCCATGTCTCTCCAACTCATCCACTGTCCTACGGGAAATGGCAGTTGCTGGGAACCTCTTCTATCCCTCTCCCCATTAGTTTCTCAAGTCATTTTCATTTTCAGCACTTACCTGGAGTATTTGGAAGAAGCTCATAAACCAGACTCAACGCACTATAAGGCACTTGTGCTACTTAGACTGCTGGGGTGGTTTACTGAGGCCTGTCTGTAGATGTAAGGACTACTATATTTACTCAAATCTAAGAGGAAGGGGACTGCAGAGCAAAGGAAGTGCAGGGAAGGGGCAGCAGAGGGAAAGGAATGTACAGAGCAGGGGACAGCATGAGGAAGGGCAGCAGCAGGGTGCAGCAGCAGGGTGAGCTACTGCAGATCCAACCCTGACCCTGACCTGGGCTGGAGCTGCTGTTGCTGCCTAGCCTGGCAGAAGAGACATAACCAGAGCAGCTGCAAAGGTAAGGGTCAGGGGGGTGGGAACATGACACCAAAGGGGTCAAGTGGCAGGACGGGGAAGACACTGGAAGGGGAGGAAGTAAGTGGCAAGGGGGGACAAGGAGCGTGGGACAGGCTACCTTTCCCTTGGTTGCCGCTTTCCCTGCTACTACTTTCCCTATGGCAGTGGTGTGGGAGGAAAAATTTAAGAGGACCCTCCAATATCTAGATTCTAGACATGGAAAATTGAAACAAATTTATACTTTTTCATGCCTAGAACCTAATAATTGGGGGGTGTCTAAAATTTGGGGTCATCTTGTATTCGGGTGAATATGCATCAGATTGCTGCCCTGGGACATCGCGCATTGGAGCTCCCAAGAAGTGGTTCACGGCCCATAAAAAACAGTAAACGATGATTTACTGCCCAACACCAGCAACACCTGCCAATGTGCCTCCTCTCAATGTGCCTTCTCTCAATGAAGAGGAACAACACAACTGTACAGTTTAAAAGTTATTAAAGTCAGGACATGTTGAAGTTAAAGCTCCAGCAGCTATGTGAAATCAGATACAGATTCCAAGCCATTCTGACTCCACTCTAAAAGGACGCTTAGTACACGCTGAAATTTTAGCAAATGAGCATCCTTACTGCCTTCTCATGTGACTACATATTTCAAGTTCAGCATGTTTAAGTGATCTGTTGAAGTAAGATCAAAATACTCTGACCTTGCAGATTCAAGTCCATCTGGAATCTTTTTTCCTCCTGTTTTCCCAGCTGCGTGAATTTTGCCATTAATTACACAAAAAGTACTACATGCAATAAAGGCAAAGACAAACAAACTGCTGGGACCTTGTGTTTGAAATTGTCATTCTTCCTCTACTTCCTATGCGTGTAAAGTCCTTGCTGAACTAATGCAGATGCTTAACACTAAGCAGACACACACAAAGACACACAGATCAGGAACAGAGCCCCCCCCCCATCACTTTGAATTTTAACAGCATTTGCTCTCAATCAATGGGATTAACTGACAGATACACATCTCCCTAGCACAGAGGGACATTTGAAGGTTCCAGGACTAAAATGAATTGCTACTCACTTTACTGAAGTAAGGGGCAGAGGCTTGTAATTGTGATGCTGTGGACATGGGCCTCACTACCCACTGCAAGCCGCACAGCCTGTAAGCGCACAGAATTTGTCTGCCACTCAGGGGTGCCTGTCAGGGATCTGTCCTGTACCTTGTGGAATTCATACAGAAGTGCAGATATCTTTAGTTATCTTTGACTGCACAGGAAAGGATGTTATTTATCGTGGAGGCCAAGCCAGGCTTTTCCCTTCTAAGCACACTGGTGAAGTAAACGTGCACTGGAAAGTGATTCTGCCTGAGTCTACAGACCAGGGCTGCAGGGTCTAACTTGGCGTTTCTGTTTTAATTTGTACAAATTGCACGAGTTTGTGTACAGGAAGAGAAATCCCTGGGGATTCTTCTTGTCAATGAGAACTTCTACCAGTGTAAGTAAACATAGATTCACTGACTTCACTGGATTAAGATGGAGTGAGAATCTGGACCTCTACGTGGACACACGCATGGATATACTTACATGTTTTCGAAAGAGGTCAGCATGGGGTCCCAGCTGTGGGTCAGCTTCTCGTACAAACTGCATCACATCCTCTACTGTCCAGGAAGAAGGGTCTCTGCTGTTCAGCCGGGAATTGTCTCTAGGCCCTAGGTATCTATCTGAACCTAAATGGATCAATAGCAAGAGAGAAACAGTTATACTGTGAACTAAACTCCAGGCTGATGTTAGCATAATGCTTACATGAACCGTGGTCTTCAGATCAAGGTATTTACTTTCTTCCATGTTTCCACTTATTCCCCACTCTGCCTTTTTTTTTGGAAACATTAACAGAGACCACAGAAGGGGCACACTCCACCAGAACCTAAGCAACCTCCTCTCGCAGAGCTCAGCAAATCAGACTCACTTGCATTCCTCCACCACTTTCCCTTGGCTAACTGATCTCTGCCATTGGCTCCACCTTACTCAGTGCCCCCATCTTTCGTTGCCCAGTACTTACCTCCTTTCTCACCCACACTTACCCTTGACTCCTTCCCATAATACTCATCACATACTCTGGTCTCTGCCATTCTGAGAGCTACCTTTTAAATTACTGCTCCTTCTCCCTCCTTTGCACTCCATTCTGATTCATCAAACGCACCATCCTTGTCACTACCTCCAGGTACATGCCTTCTATTTGCAGCTGCTCTTGCTATGATATTACCAGATCCATCCTCTCCACACTCCAGATCCATCCTCATTGTGCTAAGCCTATTACTCTGAATACTGCTGACAACTCCCTCTTTTTTGACAGAATGTCCTTATTAGCATCTTGGTAACTCACATTTTAGTAACTGGCATCCCTAACATATGCACACATTTTCAGGCCCACTTCCTTGCCTATCATTTTGTCCCCGTCCCCCGACTGGCTCCTGTTTCACCACCGATTGTTCCTGCACTTTCAGGCTCCCAGCTATCCCGTTGACCTGCAGGATCTCAGATATCTTTGCCCTTCACTACCTATCCATACTAGTCTCTCAGCTAACTGGTGCATGTAAAAGATGTGTGGCCAGATTCTATTCCAGTTATTATGCACTTAAATGGATTTAGGTGCCTATGTGCAAGTCTGTTTGAGTTCCTGAAAACCTGTTAAAGCAAAGGTGGACAGGTTGTCCTCTTCTTCACTGCTTTTTTGTTACTCAGTTTTAAGGGTCAGGTGATAGTCCTTTACAAAATCAAATGTGATATGGATTTTCAGGGATGTGAACTGGGGAACAGAACTGCATCTAGGCTCCTAAGTCTACCTAAACACCCAATAGGATCTGGCCCCTAGAGTCTTCTTTTGATAAAAATAATTTTAAAAAAATTAAATACAAAAATATGTTTAAATAACAAGATGATTGCATATTTAAGCATTCAAGAGTCCGGATATGCCAAGTAAAGGATGAAACTTAAGTCTCTCCTCTTTGAGCAGTGATATTATGATGCAGTTGTTAAATATAAACACACCTTCCCTCAAGGCACACGTGCATCTAATATTCTAGACTGCAGTTCTTCATATTAAAATGCATATGCATTATCGACGATGTCATTGTAACATACATGCACATACAGAGTGAAGGATGAATATTCACCCTTCACTTTTTCCATCTTCTGAGTGCTGAATTTTGTAATCTTAGGGCCCTGACAAGGTTTGTAGCACTACAAGTGTTATGGGTGGCTACATGTGTACAGCCCCCTAGAGAGGCTGGAGTGACAAAATTGCCATAAAGGCACTCTCTAAAGTCAGGGGGTGATAGCTGGCTGTCCCATATCTCCCACTGCAGGGAGGGGTCGCCAGCTTTTTAAAGTTCCTGGTTCCAGGGCAACCTAAGAGTAACAGGAACCAGTCTTTAGCTGCCTGCGGGCCCTTTAAAGGTCCTGGTGCCTTAATGGACTGCTGGTATTTGAGTACCAGCAGCCTTTTAAAATTCCTGGGTTGCAAGCAACCCCATCATCCATGCTGCCAGGGTGTGTGTACCCCCCAACCAGCTCCTGACACTGCAGCTTGTATGGAAGAAAGGGCTCCCAGCAAGTGGGGGCCGGAGCTGAGCAGGCAGAGCAGACTGCTGATCAACCCCTGTCATTGTGGGAGGCTCACAGGGAGCTTCTTCACCCTTGCTGCTCAAGCGGGGCTGTTTCTGTGCTTTCTGCTGAGTAGCTCTGATCACTGCCACCTGATGGGACTCCCAGCAATAGGCTGTTCCAGTGCTTTGTGTAGGGCTGGGGAAGCTCTGCTCACTGGAGGAGGCAGCTGTGTGCAAGCTGCCCCAGCAGCAAGGCCTGAACAGCAGTGTTCCTGGCTGCCCGTGTGCCTGGACCTTGAAAGGGCATGCAGGGAGTCCCAGACCAGGGAATGCAAGAGACTGGTGCTGCCTGCAACTTTTATCATGGATGTCATTTTTTTCTAGTATAACAAGTTTCTAGTATGGCAAGTCCCTTTGTGATACTCTGCTCCCTTCAAATGCTTACCTGCCAATAAAATGCCTATTTCTTGAAGTGTCACTATCTATTTACTCCCTAGGTATTTTGAATCTTTTGGTTGGTGTTATTTGTCTACCTAGGAGGAGGGACTGAAAATCCTGTGTAGTACGTTGTTTGTTTTTAACCCCAATAGCTCTGATGATGTAGTGCACATGAAATCACAGTTTCATTACAAATCCATGGATTGCACACAGTCTGAGTTAATGAAATTATCAGCATCAATGCTCCTGTCCCACACACTGCTTTATAAAAAACTGCATCAGCCATACCTCATTCAATCACTGCCTAGGCACCTACCCCAATCAAATCAACCAGTCAATTTTCATCTCACTGGCCACTTCTAATTCATTCACTTCTCCATGCATTCAGCTATCTCAGCAGCTTATACACACTGCTCAATTCATTAACCCATACCTACATCCCTAGCTGTGTAGCTACACAGCACTACCCATTTATTTGCTGACCTCAACATCCCCATACAATCTTTGGGTTACCAAGCCAAGACTCTTTTAGTACCATCCACTGACCTGTCCATATTCCAATTTACTGCCTGTCCCTAATCTGGCTGTTAAACCTAACAAATTACCTGCTTAATTGTCAGTGCGGAGGCCAGTAAATGTACGAAGGACAAGGGTTTTCTTGTATCTTTCATTGTTCCCCAAAACTTGTCAAACTTCTCTCCCAACTACAGAATTGTTCCCATAAAAGATATCACAAAAAAAACCATTGCCAAAAGTAGAGGCAAGTCTATCATACTTAGTAGCATTGGAAAGTTGTAACTAGAACAAGAAAAGCACCATATTAACAAATTAAGAGCTTTGAAGAGTTGGCTTTTTAGCTTTCTTACCCCCAGAGCTAAGCCTACGCAAGGCAGATGAATTCCCCTGAGTGAGACTAGAAGGTTGGTGTAGATGCCTGTATCCCTGCAAGCGATAGTCTCTGGAGTTCCTGCTGGGGCTAGATGAGTTGACAGAGTTCAAGGCAGAGTCCATTGGGTCCAGGCGAGGTTCTAGGGAACCTGGGAGACAATCTCCCAGAACAAAGGTTTCACCTGCAAGACACCAAACTATAATCAGAACCAATGAGGGTCATGCAGAACATAGGTACTATTCTATATAAAAATCTGAGTTAGAGGAACATTCCCTGGAGATAAAAGGCAGTATGAAAACAAACACTAAGACAAACACAGTAAGCAAGACTTGTAGAGAAGTTACAGAAACTGCTCTGAGTGGAGGGGAAAGTGATTGCTTTAGGATCCAGAATGACAGCTCTGGATCAAACCCCACACTGGGTTGTTCCCTAGTTTCACATACCTTAGCTCCCTTGCTCTAGGCAGAAGTCCTTGAGCATTGGGGGCGGGATTTTCCAGGAGGTGAGACAGGTCCTGGATGGACAACAGCATGGGGATTCCCTCAATACAGGTAAAGCACAAGTGTGCCAAGTTCCTCCTCTATCCTTTGGTCAACAGACAAGGTTATCCAGTACTGTTACATGGTGCTGGGACTTCCACTTGGGCCCCAGAAAGGAGGTCACTGACCCCATCTTTTTCTCCAAGGTGGGCACTGCTTAATTGTCTATGCAGAATTGGGTTTGATAAGGTGCTCCAAATACTTCTAAATAATACAGGCTATTGCCCTCTTGTGTTTAATAACGCTACTCAGGTGCTCACACAGAGGCAGTCTGTGAGCTTGGTGAGTTTTCAGTACGAAAAACCTGGATATGTTTAAACCACCTGCTGGATAAACCTGGGGGTGCAGGCTATGAGGTAGGCCTGGAGCAGTAGGAGTTAAAAGCCACAGGATTGAAGTTTGGTGGAAGGCAATAGTGTGCATCAAAACCATGGGAGAACATCCCAAAAAGGACAGGATTAGTACACAGCTAGTACAACAGTTAAGAAAAGCACACAGGATGGTACAAACATGCCTAGGATAAGTACAAAAGGTATTTAGTAAAGTTATAATTAAATACATTCTTTAATCAAAGTGTAAGGTGCCTACACCAAATGTGATTTGGTCATATTTGGGCAATGATAGCTCATGATCAGTAGAAACATGCTTGAGTTACAGTGGCATGGTCAGCAATATGATTTGTTACAGCAGTGCAGGACTGGAAACACTTCTGTGATGTAAAAACATTTATAGGGTATAAAAGGGTGGAAAAATGCACTCTGCATTTGTGTTTAGCCCTAAGCTCTCCCTGCTGTTGCCCAGCCTGGCCACCCAGCTGATACTGCAAGTAAAGGCTACAATAAATTTAAGGCCTTGTTACACCTTATGGGGCAAATCACACAAATGTTGATCAGTGTTAGTGCTAATCTGGAGTTTGGAGCAGTCACAACCTTAGTCTAGAGACCTTCTCTGACTGCCCCCCCTGCACAGCTGTGACTTACCTCTAGAGGCCTGGTGAGCAGGGGCAGGACTAGGAGCTGTAGCTGTGAATTGCCACTAGAGGGCTGGAGAGCCAGGACAGGCTTCTACCCCTGCTCTACAAGCAGGGCTGAGAAAGATCCTAGGACACTGGAGGACTTCAATATGTGCGGCACATCTGTGGGGAGTGGCCACACCTTATGGAACTGGAACAGGGTAGCGAGGAACAGAGTTAATTCCGGCCTGGAGTGGCGTAAATTTAAGCCAGGTAACAGATGTTTAAAGCCACTTTAAGGTGTTAATATGTAGATATACCAGGGGTTAAGAGCTCTAGAAACTGTCCACAATGACTATGTATCTAAGCCCTTATATTCACTGAGTTGCTGCTTGGTTACTCAAACTGTGTTGTAGCAGGACCTACCTGGCCCTTGGAAACAACAACAGGGAGCACTGCCAAAAATAAGCCTCATTTACTCACTCTCTCACATGTTCTTTGGCCCATAAATTACAGAGGGTAGACACTGTGAGAGCAGGCCTGAACTCAGATTCTTCTGAGATAAACAGCTTGAGTATGACACAGGGGTAAATGTTCAGGGCTTAGTTCACAGGAATGTGCTAGGTTTGCCCAGGACCCGACTTAAATATATTCAGCCTGACTGCAGCTTGTAGTGTGATCATTGTGTGCATCTACGCGTGTGCTTTAATGTGCATTAACTTGTCACAAAAAGTGCTCTTCAGCTAATGCACATTAAAACAGGCTAATGTGCATTTTTCTAGTATCTCACAGTGGAGGGCTCTTTTACAGGTGCTCCAGTGGTGGGGGGTGTGGTGCCGGGGTGTGTGGCAGTCTAATTAAAGTGCTGCAGCATCTTGTGTATCAGTGTCACCATGCTTAAAAATGGGAGTGGGGGCACTTGAACTAAAGCTTGCTTGACAAGCTTTAGTTCAAGAGCCCCTGCCACCATTCTTAAGTGTGGAGACACTGATGCCAGCAGCCTCTTGCATCTCGCAATGCTCCAGCAGGCTTAATTAATCAAGTCTGCTCTGACGTCCTGGAATTCCAGCACGTTGGAGCAGCCTTGGCACTTGTGTATAGGCACCCGGAGGTACTAGATTTAATGCGCATTACCTGAAGTGCATTAATTAATGTGTAGACACACCCACTGAGTCTGTCTCCTTCCCACCAGGGATTTTCTGAACAGAAGTCCTCAGGCTCCCATTTCCCTGATGTAAATAAGAGGAATGCAGACAGGGCATTTGATTCCTCTCTCATTTTCCCACATTTCCTGGCCTCCTGACATATTTACCTAATCCTCGGGCCTTCAGGGGTAGCTGGGGAACCCTGAGAAATGGGACAGCTGAAAAGGTGTTTACTATTCTGGGTGTTAATATTATGTGGGTAGAGTCTAATCTAGGCTAAGCAAGGGAAATTACAGGCCCTCCCTTTTCTGTGTATACTATGCAAGCCTTGTTCAAGGACCAACAGTCAGGATTTTAGATTGTCCCTACTTGAGAGAGTCATTTCAGCTGGACCAGAGTCCTGTTGCACAGTTTAGGGTATTAGATAGTTATTTATGAAGCACATGTCAATCCTTGTTGTAAAAGAAAAACATAGTGAATGACATGAGATGTACTGCTTTTATTCAACAGCTTGTGGTAGGTATGCATCATAGAACACTACTCCCAGTTTGACCACAGTTTAGCTTTACCTAACATTGGTTTAAAAGATTTAATGTTTTCCTGTTTTTATCTGAATTGCCAAACACATTGCAACAAGCTGAGAGGGAGCAGGAATGGAACTCAAGCAGCTGCACGTGTTGGAGCTAAGGTTTCTTTCCGTAGACTAAGCCTGTAAACTGAATAAACCAAAACTATATGGAGATAGGAAATGAGGAGTAGGGTAGACCACTAATTGAAAAATCTCACTCAGGAACCCAAGACAGAATTATTTAATGAAGAAACAGCACTACAATCCGTGATAAGGTGGAACAAGTGCAAGCATGTTTCACTAGGCAGCAAACTACTGGGATAGGAGAGATGAAACTGCTTGTGTGAGTAGGTAACAGCTTTCAAGTAACCAGTGCTTCTTTAAAATACATTTACTGTTGTAGAATGTACAACTCCTTTCTAACTGACTTACCAGCTTAGTGCGGCATGAAAGCCAACACAAAGCCAACAACGCTAGGAATGCAACCAAAAGAAAGGAGGATCCAGAAGATGAGGGAAGTACTTTTTATTTGCCTGACAGACCTGCCAAAAGCTGGGGAAAAGGAGACTTCCACTTCCTTACCCTTGTAAAGTTAGGGCAAATGTTTGCAAGTGAGGGTACTGTCTGACTCAGATTCACTGAATGGATGCTCTGCAGGCCTCAACCCAAATGCTGTGGGCAGCAATTCTAAACTATGAGAATGGGAGTGGTGGTGGTGGTGTGTGGGAGGGAATAAAGGATTTAAAGAAAATAAACCTGGATGAGTCAGATAATTTCTCCTGACCTGAATCTGGAGAGACACATTCTGAAAGTCGAAGCAATTTACACAGGGCCTGTGAGGAGACCAATACGAGAACTCCATTAATTTTTCTGGATCCAATTGAAAATACAGTTTGGTAACGTATAAAGTTATGAGATACTTTCCATAAACCATTCCCCTCTTCACACACACAAAACTTTCTGAAACACTAACCTTTTAGATTGTTGATTCCCCTGTTTGATACTTGCCCAAAGGCAATTTTCACTGAGAGCTGTGGCAAGGCATAAAGGTGCTGTGGCATTTAAAGGATTATCAGGTCCTAGCCCCTCTCACAACATATCTGGGTGAGGTAATAAAAGGTAGGGGGAAGCTGCTACTAGCTTGGAGGAAGGATATGCCCTCTCCAGCTTGCTGACATAGTTCCTAGTAGTGGGTTTGTCAGGTTTTGAACTGTGTTTTAGAAAAAAAAACCTAGCTATAAGCAAAGAGGTGAAAAATCTCTTAGTTGGTACTTTCCCAGCTAGCGAGTCTGCAGTGATGTACACATATACATACACATATCCTTAGGGTTCAGTTCTGTGAAGTGCTAAGCACCCTCAGTTTCCATGAAAGCCAGTGCAGGACCTAGCTATTGACAGATAGAGCAGGTAAGTGTGCATGTACCGTTAGTAGTGTGCACTGCAGATCATACAAAGAAGTTACTGGCTCCATGAGAGGACTTACTCCAAATGAACGAATTTCTGAGTTTGGCTCAGAAGGCCTGGAGATTATATGGAAAGTAACAGATTAAACTACGCCAGTTCAATGTTAAGGATCCAAAGTTAGTCCTCAGAATATGTTTAACTCAAAGATGTGCACACAAACTTAGTTCTGCTTTGAATGCACTAAAATGGAGTCTTTAAATATATGATCATGTTCTTACATATACTTAGCAGTGCAGAAAGAAGTTCCTTTGCAAAAAACAGTATGAGACAATGCAAGCAGGAATTATAAAGCAATGTATTTACTTAAGGGCTAGAATTAAAGTTGCATGTTCAGCCTTGATTTACAAGTCTCCAGAGAGCCAAGTGCTTGACTACACTAGCATTCAATTGCAATAAATATAATACAAGAGCCTGAGGTTTCTCAGTGGAGCAAGAGGTGGAAAACTCCTGGGTTTCATAAAACATGCAGATACACAACGGAGTCCTTAAGCAGACCATCCCACTGAAGTAGAAAAGGGGGAGAGTAAC